GACCATAGAATCATAGAATTATTTGGGTTGGAAGAGACCTTAAAGATCATCTTGTTCCAACCCCCCTGCCACAGGCAGGGACATCTTCCACTAGACCAGGTCACCCCTCAGCCTCCTTTAACTTAGACAAACCCAAAGTCCTTAGCCACTCCTCCATAGGACATGCCTTCCAGCCCTTTCACCAGCTTTGGCACCCTCCTCTGGACACATTCAAGGACCTTCACATCCTTCTCAAATTGTGGGGCCCAGAACTGCACACAGTACTCAAGGTGAGGCCACACCAACGCTGACTACCGCAAGATAAACAACTCTTTTGACGAGCTGGTTATACCGTGTTTGATGCACCCCAGGATGTGGTTTGCCCTCTGGGCTGCCAGAGCACGCTGCTGGCTCATATTGAGCCTCCTGTCGACCAGTGCCCCCAGATCCCTTCCCACAGGGCTGCTCTCCAGCCACTCCTCTCCCAATTTATACTTGTGCCCAGCATTACTCCATCGTACCTGCAGGAACTGGCATTTGGACTTGTTAAATTTCATTCCATTAATCATTGCTCAATGTTCCAGTCTATCTAGATCCTCCTGCAAGGCCTCGTGTCACTAAAGAGTCAACAGCACCTCCCAGTTCAGTGTCATCAGCGAACTTGCTAATGGTTACTAAAATATTTTTCCTTTTACCTAGGCAGTTCCAGCAGGAGACTCTGTCCGTATAAGATTTGAACTATCAACAGGAAGAACTCCTCTCCACTAATGAAATAAGGAACCTAGGGCAATCAGCTTGCTAATTTAGACATGCCAGTTAAGTGCCTTAAGTTAAATGAATCCAAGTAAAGTGCCCTTTGAGTTAGGCACTGCGTGTCTGACTCTTGAGACACCCACGTTCCTTTACACAACCCATAGTGGTTACACTAATTACACTGGTGTCTAAGTACACTACTCAGAATAAAATAAGCTGAGTTGTAAAATGAGTTTTCAGAGAAACAGCAAATGCATCCCTCTAACACTGTGATAGTGCAGTGCTTTTAAGGGGAGGGAAACCAAGGCCCAGAAACTCAAAAATCTTAACACAAGTGGCTCATTTATGCACCAGAAGGGAAGCTTTGTCAGTCTTTGATAACTGGAGCCTTACAGAGTTTCCCAGTTCTAGTATGTTAAGTATTCTGGAAAAGAGATTCTGTGGCCCTTGAGTAGAAACACTTGGGAAACTGGAAGACGATGAACATATGGATAACCTTGCCAGCTCAGACAAAAAGACTGCCTGTCTCATTATTCTCCGCTCCAACAGTGGCCACAAGCAGATGTTCAGGAAGGAGTAAGACCAGGGACGTATAAATAGCACTCTCTTGAGTATTTCCTAGCTTCTGTGTTCAAATCATGGGATTTCCTCCCAAGGAGCACCTCTCCAAGTACTTGTCCATGTCCCTCTTTGGAACTGTATAATCTTTTTGCCTCTACAACCTATTTTGACAAGGACTGTCACAAATCTACCACCTCCTGCAGTAACAGTGATCTTTTTGTGGTCTCTGCACTCACTCCTGCTAACCTCTCTGGGTGGGGGTGGCCTTTGAGTCTCGGTTGGAAAAGGCAGTCAGCACCTCCACCCCAAATCATTCACAACTTGAAAGCCACAACAGTCTACATGCAAAGAGTGCTTCCTTACCTATTCATTCCTTGTAGTCTCCAAGATCCTCATAAGAAAAAGCTCTATGCATACAAAGAATTTTTTTTCTGTATTGCAAATTGGATTGAAAATAAATACGTGATACAAATACAGAAATATGTTTTATACTCACCTGCCATAGAAACACAATTAAAAACCCTACTGCGCATCTTTGTAGAATTAAATCAAACCCAGCTCTTTATCCACCACTCATTTTAACTAGTGATTATAATGATACTATAATCTTGAAAAAATCTGGTTTTTTTAAAGACGTGAATTATTTTTCAGAAATGACAGCCAAAAAAAAAATACTAGTTTAAAACCCTACACAAGTTCCTTTCCGTTCAGAGTATGATGTAAGAAAAAAGCACCTACCTACAAGTGAAGTAGAACTTTTAACTGTGGAAATTGGTTATTTAAATGAGAAAAATCCCCAATTCACATTCATTACCAGAACTCACATCAACTGGCAAACAAATCTACTGTTCCAGTGCATTCAGAAGTCAGTACAGGCCATGTAAGACCTAAAAAAATCTTAGTCATTCGGTGATAAGAAGGTTCCCCCAGATTCTCTACAGTTCGCAATAGTAACAGAGACTGCCCAGATGTCAGATGAGCCCACAACTGGCAACAGCAACTACAGACATTTGACTGAAGTGCAGTAAAAAAGCCTGGTGAAAACCAGTCAAGTAGTCAAGAACGTCAGGAGAAAGTGGTTCCTATAGAGAACAATAGCTGATTTATTACAATCTCAGATGACAAGCATTGGTTTCAAATGCCAGGGACCCATGCAAAGGGACCTCAATGACATAAGAATTGAAGAAATTAACACAGGTCCCTCCGATACAGCAACATATCTGAAGCACCTGAATGTCCTCAGATATTCCTATCGTACAGAGTTCAAATGAATGAACACATATGATGGAAGTGTTTTGCCAAAGGTTGCAGGTCCTTTGTCCCCACACAGACACCCCAGCACACAGCACTGTCACTACCATATTGCTCAGTAACTCATATGGCACCTGCATAGTGAGCTGGTCAGTATTTCGACAGTCTTTTGAAAAAATAAAATGTATTTTTAATGAAAACAATTACATTTAGTTTAGCTCACTCCTGTTAGATCTAGACAATATATGAAAAAAAATTTCATATTTTTTAAAACTTCTACATTTGAAATAGAACATCTTCTACAAAACTGATGCTGTCATTAAAAAGCTTTTTAAACTAAATTCTTCAATTTTCACTCCCACCTCAACGCATTTCACGTTTCATTTATAAACAAAATTAAAAACTGCTAAAATGTCCCACAGAGAAAATTCTGATTTTTCTTAAAACCTTAATGAAGTATGCAATCCTTTGCAGTGGTGACAGCAACGTATCAGGTGATAATCTCAAGGCTTCAGAGAGCACAGGCGTGTTTTCTGTGTCAATGCATCCTCCTGATGCACACACCTTCCACTGCTGTAGCTAACACTGTTTTGTTTCCTCCTTCAGAAAAAAATCTTTAATACTACTGCAAAATCACTGTCATAGAAGACTACAGTCTTTTCACTTTTAGTCCTTCTATTCTATTGTCCCTAACCTTCCGTTTTCCAGTAAAGAAAAATATAAAGAAATTCAGCACTCCTTCAGATTAAAGACACTAGCACATGCTTAAACATAGTGATCTTTGTGCTCGGTTAACTGGGAACAAACATGCCTATGTTCATATTCAAATCGAATTTTCAACCACAGAGAGTTTTGAAATAGTGGTAATAGTTTTAAACTAGAAGAGGGAAGATTTAGACTAGATATAAGGAAGAAATTTTTTACAATGAGGGTGGTGAAACACTGAAACAGGTTGCCCACAGATGTGGCAGATGCACCATCCTCGGAAACATTTAAGGTCAGGTTGGACAGGTCTCTGAGCATCTTGATCTAGCTGAAGACGTCCCTGCTTATTGCAGGGGGGTTGGACTAGATGACCTTTAAAGGTCCCTTCCAACCCAAACTATTGTATGGTTCCATGAATCTATGATTTCTGATGAGATATTTTTGAAAGATGTCACAGCATAATGATTACGCATACAGCACACTGAGTTAGTGGAAAGACTCTATGTTGCAATTGTGAAAGATATTCTGAAGCAGATACAGTCAACCACTGCCTGCTGCTACCTGGCATCTTCAATAAACTACCCAAAGCAATGATCTTCACCCTTTATATTCAACAGAAGGTTTTTGAATATTTTTTCTTTCTAAATTTTTGGCACCTGTAAGTCTGTAACCTCCTTTATGAAATCATCCTTACATACCTGAAGCCAGGTATGAATGGATACACAGAAAGTCTGATGCACGTGCCATGTTTAACCCATCTCCATACTTCTCCAGGAGAACACTGCCTGTACCCCATCATTTAAAGACAACAAGAAGCAAATGCCACAACATTCTTCTAATAAATTTATGCAACACCCTCATCTAGCAACATCAGCTACTTTATCTACCTCCTACACCGCTAGCTGCAAGACTAATAAAGCTACCCAGCAGGCAAGAGATTTAATGAAATAGACCCTGAGTTCCTGGGAGGATCACCTGTGGTTCCAACCTAACACTTCTGATCAAATACAAGCTCTCTTCCTGCTGCTGAGCAATAGGCTTTTCTGGATCTTGATCAAACATGCTCCAAAGGAGGGAGGGTGTAATAATATGGTGTAAGGTATTCAAGTGTGCAGGAGAACAATTGATTGTGGTGAGAGGGAGGAAGAGAAAAAACTATTTAAAAAAAAATAATGGAAATTGACAGCATTTAGGTCACTTGAGCAGCAAAGTAAGTTCACAGCAATTCTTTCAATAAGCAACAATATAATTAAGCATATGTGCTAATCATCATTATTAAAACACATAAGCCAGCAAAAAAAAAAAAAAAAAAAAAGCCTTGCACTGTTACAGGTTTTCAGTTTCCACAAATATTTTCAGTTCCGTTCCCCATCTAAGGCTGAGGCATCAAGATACAAACATTAGAGAACAAACATCTCCCAGTGGCTATCTAATGAAAGTAAGGGCCAAAATAAAGAGCATTAAGAAAAACCCCAACCCACTTATCAGTCTCAAGTTCTCTTCTCATTGCCTAACAAATTTAAGCACTATCTGTTTACTGCTCCTTTCAGTGCGAAGCTGGAGAGGAGACAATTTGGCTTCCCTTCCTCTGCAAGGAAGAGATGAAAAATTCCTTACTTATTGATCCCTCTGAATTAACCTAAACATTCCTTACCTTGAAATCTAGTACATTCCAATCTCAAATCTCCTGTAAAAAAGCTGACTTGATCTCCCATCTCTGGGTGAACTTCATGTTCTTGGGCAAATCTTACCTAATTTTGGCAGGGAATAGGGCACTTTAAAATAATCTTCATAAAATTCAATGAGTCTCCTTGTAATATTTAGAGCATAGTCCCCTGATCCTCTTCGGATTGCATCAGGCCTTGCATATAACCGTACCTGTTAAAAAACAAAGCAAAAGACTTATCATTTCAGCATCAGCATTTTAAAGCTATCCTACCTGCAGAGGTGAAATATTTTAAAGTTGTTGTGAGGTGGCAGGATTATTCTCTTAAAGCCAAATGTGATTGTCATACGTTTGTCAAAACATGTCATAGCTGAAAACCAGAACTTCCACAATTAAGGTTACAAACTTGCGAAGTCACAATCTCCGACTTGTTTGTGTTGCCAAATAAAAGACTTAACACTCCTTGCATCAAAAATAAATATGCAAAGAAAACACTTACATGTGTTTGCTAGAGATATGATGGGAGAGTGGATTGGTATAATGGTTCTCTGCCCACAGTGAATGTAGGCAGGATGCAGCGGCTCAGTAGGAGAGAAGTTCATGGTTTGTTAAAGGCACATTATATCAAGCCCTGAAAGTATTAATAGACTGTAGAGGGGAAAAAAAAAAAATTGTTGTCTTTTCTTTTCTCTGGCAGTGACACAGTTACTCTTGATGAGCTATGGAAGACTGCAAAAACAACCATTTATAAGCTCATTCATGTACACAAACAATTAACATTCCTGAAACCTCCATGACTGCTTCAGGCCTCTGTTTTCAGAAAGCAGTAAGTTAAAGCTGTTTATACAATCCACAGACTGTTGTGTTCAGTATAAAATAGCTCATGCATTTGACTACATGGAGCACCAAAGTGAACAGAACTCACCTTAATAATTCAGCGCCCAAGTGTGACCCGCTTCCCTCCTGACTAAGGAGGTAGAGGAAAGCACCACCAGGCTATTCATTATTCCTTGTCGTCACAGCCCTTAATGCTTCCTTAGTGCAAAGCTGACACACAGCTGAGAACTGTTAATGAAGACCAGGACAGAAAGGAGAGCCCCTTTTTGCTCTCCCTCCTCATATGCCCTCTGATGGACGTAGCCAAGGGGAAGCAGTGTGTGCTTTCTGGCTGTGGCAGAAGGTCTCTCCCTGCAGTACATAATGACCTGATACAAACAAGACTCTACTAAATGTCAGTCCTAATAATAATATCTGACTCGCTAATACTTTCTGTGGTGGGATTAAATCCCAGCCAGGGTTCCGAGGAAAGCAGCAGGGCAGAAATCAGAAACTATCAATGCAAACATGAAGCCGAAATATCAGTTTTGAAGTGTTTCTAAATGCTCTATTCTGGATCAAGAAAAGCCAATCGGATTTTCAGCTTCAGTGAAAGAATTACCAAGTATTGCTTTAGTGCTCTTTTCCTGAACCAGTTCAGTTACCCAAGTGGAAACCAGATATCAAACCTCGGTACACTCTACCTGTCAATTCTGTTTTAAGCCAGTATCTCTTTGTTTTCAGTATTCAGACACATTATTCTGCTTTGCTACTATGTCCACCTTTCTATTTTTTATCTTTGTGCACTGAGTCTGTAATACAATACAATCAACCATACATAGTTATCATTTGTAATGTAAAACAGATAACAGTGTAACCTAATGAGACATGTAATAAAGCAGACTTCTCATAATCACCACCTGAAAGCATATAAACCATTATCTGAACACCTCCAAGTCACTATTTTTGTTTATCGCTTCCTTCCACAGTTAACAGTGACATGTGCATTAAATGTTCTCTGATCTGCTACACTAAATATATTTTTTAACAAAATAGGTATTAGCCATAGAGATCCTAATTCAAACATCTCAAAACCTTTAGCTTATTGAAGGATGGTAAGAATCACAATTAGATTTGTGATGAACACTGTTTTGTATCATTAAACCTTTATACACAATTTTGCATAATTGCTTTACTGGCACAGTTGACTGTATCAGCAAATTAGGAAAAAAAAGAGTCAGCCAACCAAGTATGCAAAAAATCATTCAATTTGACAGTGGCCAAATGTGTCCATAATAAGGAATAGGATAACAGAAGGGAAGAAAAAAAAAATAGGTACATACAAGAAAAATTGAGGTTCAACTTACCGCATTACAATGCGTGTCTTTTGGCAAATGCAGAAAAGGCATTTAATGGTGTCTGAGATGGAGCCCCGTACCAAAGCTCAGAAACCGCAATGCTGCAAACTTTCATCTGCCACCTGCCTAATGCTGAATATAGCTTTATTTTTCCTGTAAAGTTTCCTTGGGTTCCTTGTCTCTGCCTGCCCAGAGCAGCTCCAGACTGCCAGGGCTCCGTGACTCACACCGAGGTTCACTTCTAAGCTGGAACCCCCAAGTTCAAAAATACCTGTGCCTTTGCCCAGGTCTCTCATGGACTTTGAGGCAGCAGGCAGTGCCGAAGCATGCCAGCCACCTCCAAATGCTGGGTCTGCTTCTGCCCTTTACCCAACAACCACTGAACATGAAATGTGTGGAGGAACCTTAGAGGGACCATGGCAGACTCAGCCCTGGACTCAGAAAATTCTCTCTGGGTTAGCAGAGGGCTACCACTGGGACAGTCTGTGACACCCTGCCTACCTGGGCTGGCTGTTTTGGATGACACCTTCTCCAGTGTCGTTCACAGTGTAAGGAGCTTGGTCCAGAGTTCAGTCTAAAGGCTGGCACCCATAAGCTTGAAACTGAAGCCCCTGACTTTCACAGACCAATGTCCTTTAATGTGTACGGGCTTGTCTTGACCATGATTTACCTCCAAGTCTATAAAATAGGCATTATTATATTATTTCCTTAGCTTATACAAACACTCTAAGTGTTAAATAATAAAGACTGTAAAGTTTTCAAATACTGCTCCGAAGAGGAACTTAAGTAAATAAAAAAGAATGAAGATAAGACATGAGATTTGTTTAGCATAATCTTTTTGTTTGTTTACTGCTTTCATTTCAAGAGGCAGATAGGTTGTGTTGCTTTATAACTATGTTGGACTGACCAATAATGCATAATTATTATATGCTTTCCTACAGGCTATTTGATCACTATAGTAAAAATTTGATTTTACATTAATAAGAGAAAGAACAGAAAATCTTCCGCAGGGTTAGACCTAAGCATAAATAAAAGAAGTACGTGTTCTTCTACAAAAGATAAATAGGTTTCTAGCTTAGGTGCACAATTCATCACTCACTGCAATGGTACCTACTGCCCTGCTAATATCAGTGAAGCTCTTTTACACAATCTTTGCAAGATTAGCTTATTATTTTCAGGTGAGAAAGTGGAGAACAAAGAGAGACTGAGACTAATTCTGGGTGCTTATCTTGACACCTCTCAATGTCAAGTATACTTAACAGTTTTATTGCACACACTTAAAGCACTGTTATAGCACCATTATATCTTATTGCAGTGGTGAACACTTTATACGGCTTTGAGTCTGGTCACAGGTGCCTTAGTTTGGGTATTAAGAAAATTAGTAACACACGATTAGTGACTAAATGAGACTGTGTCAGTTTATGTGATTTGCTTGGCATCTCACAGCAATTCTGGTGGCAGAGGCAGGGAGGGAATTCAAAGATGGCACTCAGCCTCACGGCCACCTGACAGGCTACACGAAGCACCTTCCACCTTTGGGAACGAATAAGGCAGGGACTGTTCAGACAATGGGCAGATTCACAGTACACTGGTGTGTGTCCTGGTGCAGCGTAGTTCCCCACGCATCTTAAATAACAAAAATAACAGAAAAATATTATGAGGGGTCATATTAGTAATGACTCTGACGTAATACCTACGAATATAAAAAAAGTTCACATCGTTAAGCTTTCTTAACTCTTTTGCACCTGCATTTACAACCATTACCAATCTTTCAATAGAAGTTCTGACTATTATGAAAAAAAAGATCCAGACCTCTCATTTCTCTCTCAAATGGAACCAGACTGTCTCCTTCCTACCACAAGTATTAGTAAACTAGGTTTGCACCTTCAGCCCTACAACCCAGACCACCCCTTTGGCTTTTGTAAGACACTATTGTTCTTATACTGCAGAGCCACAGATGGAGGAGATCAGACATGCTTTGCTAGAAATCATTTTCACTTTTGTTAACAGCAGAGCAAGAAGTTATTAGAGATCCTAAATGAAATCACTGCAATGTATATTTTCTCATTCTTTTCTAAAGTGAGCAAAAATGTAAGTTGTTTCCCCTTGTTTCCTCTCCAGAAGCCCTGGGCTATTTTCATTAGAGCTTTAGAGGCAACACAATAGCCACAGTCAGAAAAACTACCACCACAGAAAAATCATCCTGAAGGATTAATTTAAAAATATTAGTAACCTAACTGAAGTTCTTAGAATGGCTTTGGCAGCATTACCAGATAAAATGCTCAAATATTCCTGAGACTTGTATGGTAAATTCAATGTATTTGTTCTAAGTGATCAACGGTCTATTTCCCTACAGTTAGTCAAAAGTATTTGCTCTACAAAAAGTGAATTTTCACAAATAATTTGTACATATTGCAACATTTTCTGTAGTCTCTCTTAATATGTCAGCATTTGTTATATAAAATAAGTCAAAGTAATTTAAAAATATTTGTAATACAGGTCACCAGAACAGATGAATGTGACTTTAAAATGAGAGCTGTTTCCCATAGTGAGGGACGGTTGTGATATACACTAAGAAACATGTAACAGATTTAGAAGAAATCACATCTAACTGAAGTCAGGTTATTAACTACTGTGCACTGTCTACAGCAGGTAAAAATTATTCATCAAAAGAAGAGTTTTTCTTGTCTTATTACTTCAGTGTGTATCAAAAAAATGTGAATTAGTAACTATACACAAGATACAATGCGTAGATTTTGACAAGTACAAACTGTAAATAGCAATGAACATCTTAATTTCTGGTGAATAGTACGTTCACTAAAATTTTTTCCACTGCACCAATGACTAGTGATAATTTCAGCACATAATAAACAGCAGAATGGGTTCAGAAAAAGTAGAACAGTTCTATTTTGATATTTTAGAATCATGACTTCTTTTTTTTTTTCATTAAAATTGAAGTACATGAAAAAAGAAAAGGATGAAAGGAATGAAGAACAGCAAGGAAAAAAAACTGCAGTCATTTTTTCACATTCTGTGAA